AGCCATATTCGCTTATTATTTGTTGCTGGCTGGTAACTAGGGCTTTCGATTTTTGCTCGCAATCGAATTCCGGACAAAATCTAGCAGCAATTTCGAGTAGTTATCGAGACATATGTATGTATGTATGTAAGAGCATATCGACAGCTTATATTCAATACCCTCTATCTATACTTTTCACAAAAATGAGATTCTGATATTAAAATCCACCTTAGACTTAACTGTCATCGGTGATGTTAATGCTGGATGGATGAGTTTTAACATCACCAAGTAGTTTTTGTGAAAATTGCAGATAAAGGGTATTGAATATAATCCCTCGATATCGAACGTATTAAAAACAAAATCAGAAAAAAATTTATGTGTAAATGTTAAATATTCTATTATCAAAAAAAAATGTATGTGCGTTTAAGAAGAACTTAATTCGATGTACATACAGTTAATCCCAAAATTGAGCGTACGGTTTTTTTTTGTTATTACTCGCAATGTTTTACATGCTAAAATATGTTTGTTATTTTGTATTAAAATATGGCTTATATCTTAGCAAACCCCATTTATTTATATTGTTACGTCATTCGGTACACGAGAATCTCGTGAGAAAGCGATCCTCGCGAGAAATTGCTTTTCGAACAATCTCGGTAAATTGAAGGCTCTACTGGTAACAGAAGCTAAAATATTTTATTTTATATTCTACAAAGTGATCGCTACAAAAACCAAAAAACAAAAATATAAAATATTTTATGTTTTCTATAAATTATTTTAAATTTTTGCTTGCGAAAAATTTCTTATATAGTCGTGTTCCTTGATCCGGCCTTTGAAGAAATGCATTTAAATAAATGTGCAATTATAATAGTATATGTATATTCTGCAGAAATATTTTTCCCAGCATCTGCAGTGGAAGCATCATAAATTTGTTTAACGTTTATCTTGTAGATGCCGTCGTCTTATAAAATACATTAACTTTTTTAAGAGCTGCAAAACATACTTCTAAACTTCCATATCGCTCAAAGCGAATCTTTTTATTTTTCAACAAAAAGGGTCGTTTTCTTTGTATGAAAAAAGGACTGTTTCTCAAGTTGGGAAGTAGCTAGTTCTCAACTTGAACTCCAATTGATTTTCCAATTGGTCTCAAACTTGTCATAGAAATACTGAAATAGTAAAATAATTTATACCTTTTTGATTGAAGCGACATACGTAGATAAATTTAAATAGATATTTATTTCTTTATTGCTTTTGGGGCATTCCAAAGTGATGGGTGGGACATTTTAACTCGTTTTCGCTCAAACTTTTTGTGAATTCTCTTTAACCTTTGATTTGACAAGTGTCAAACTGTTAACACTTGAAGTCAGATATCAGTTTAATACGAAACTGAAATTTAACATTTTCCAAGCGTGACGGGTGGGACAACGATGACACCCGCTTCTCTGAGTCGGGGGTAGGACGAGTCACCTTTCGTCAGTAAAATGAACTCTGCTGATTTGATGTAAATATTTATTATATTTTGAATAGGGGAACCTCATTTGAAAAATGGGAAACTTAAGAATTTGTATATTACGTTAAAAAATACATATTTTGCTGTGACGCTTATAACTTCTCACCATAAATGTGTTTTTCTAATAACTTACCACCACTGTAAAGCTCATGAATTGTTCTTTCTTTTTAGATATTTATTTTTTGCATTGGCACCTTTAGTAGATGAGGAATGCCTTGAAAACTTGATGCAAACATACTACAGTATATTATATATGCATTTTTAATAATCCGCCTTATTGCGTAAGTCGTAAATTATACTACATTTTACGACTCGCCAACATTGGCATTATATACTGTCGTTCTGAAATAAGTACACGACGAAAATCATCGAAAGGTATACAGTGCTGGCAAGTTTTCCGTTTTAATACAGTAGTCGAGTGGAAATTTTAGGCACTGACGTGAAAAATTCTTTCTGATTCGACTATCGAAAAACGACTTGCCTTCGACACGATTCTCGTAATGAGGGTGAATAAAATAGAGTAAATATTGAAAAATAAATGGATAAAAATCTCCTGCTTTACTGTTTTTACAGATTTAAACACAATTTATATAATTTTATTTCTTTTTTCTTGATTTCTGAAGTGTCGTTATTTTTTTTTTGATCTGTCGTCTTCACTGGAATGGCCCTTTTGTAATATGTAGTTAATCAATATCGTATTACAATAATTCACAGTCAAGTTTTCAGTCGAGCGGCTACAGTCTGACAGTGACCATTTGATTCACTTCGCGTTTTGACTTTTTTGAAAACATTATTTACTTTTTGTTGGTAATTTTCCTCTTTATATATTTAGCTTCACTTTTTCACTTGATAATTAAAAATTCGTTTCCCTATCACTTTTTACCTATACACGCGTCGATTTTATACTTTCGAATGCTTATGATTTGTCAACGCTGCCAAAATTGTTTTTCTCAAGTTCATCTCAATGTCCAGTCCAAAGTTAGAGATAAGTTGAAGAATGTTTGAGAACTATGAATTTCTCCAAGGTTGGAGAAATATTGTTTTGGTGTTTTTGTGGTTTCTTGCTCAAGTAGGCCTGCAAGTCGAATGCGAAGCGCGCAAGTTATGTTACTGTTTATTTTTATTACTATAATATTATTAATTTTA